AAAAAAAAAAAAAAAAAAAAGCTAAAATTTAAAAAAGAAGACAAAATGAAGGTGGGGGTAAAATATCTACTCTGTGTTGTAATTTGAGGATAATCTGTTTTCCATTGTTCTCCTTTTCCATAGCATCTCAGATACATGAGGAATTATGATCTTTGGAGGAAGATACAAAATGGCACCATTGAGAACAGTTTTTATACTAAATGCTAGTTTTTTTCTGATCTGTCTATACAACTGCTGATAAACTCACTGGACAGGTGTGCCAGCCCTTCTGATGCTGAGCATTTGATTTTGACTTCTGCACACCAGTTGGCCCTGGATCTTCGGGGTCAGGGCTCTATTGGATTTGTACCTCAGAGGAAGACATGTGGCAGATCTTTTGGGACTCTGAAAAGAGCAGTCTTCTCGCCAGAGGAAGAAATGGCAGTGGCAAAAAGATGAGTCCTTTGGAGCCCACATCAAGAGCACACACATGCTGCATTATCCTAGGAAGGGGGCTAGTAGAGCTGCCATGTTCTTCCGTACCTCAGTTTACCTGCGGCTCCGGCTACACCTCTGATGCCTGCCCATTGTGGCAGAAGCTTTGTTCAAGGTCCACATACTAGGAAATTTATGTCAACACCCCCCATAGTCTCTTCCCAAGTGCTAGGTTCATTGTTTAATCAAAACCAAACCAACCATTGTGTATCTTAAAGGTTGGCCCTGTGCAGTGGCTAAGCAAATTACTTGGAGACAGATGGGGAAGGTTGGCTGGGGTACGGGTAGAGAAGATAGGCATAGGAGGGCTCTGCAAGTGTTGGGGAAGAAGGATTAGAATTTGCTGGTCTTCTTTTTTAAACCATCATTACATTGTGACTAATTTGAAATGAAAAGTTTATTTTCCACGTGGTCTTGGTGAACTTTCTTAGGTAATTGTTTTGTGAACAATTTTTGTATTTGTGAAGGTCTTTGCTTTTTCTTTTTGCTTTCTTAAAAAAAAAAAAAAAAAAACTCTGTCAACCATTCTCTGACTGGACCCAACCAGTGATATATCTCAGAGGGTTTAGGCTCCCTCCAGACATCACCTCATCCTGTGCCCTTTCCTATGTAGTGTTTTCTCTCAGACTCAGAGACAGTTGGCTTGGACTTTTCTCAGTGAAGTGCTTCCAGCTGGAAGGCCAGGAAGCGTTCTAACAGTGGACTCATGCTCTTCTATACAGTGGCCCCTGTTGTTTTTGTTTTAGCTCTGTGATTGCCTTTGGCTTCCAGAAATCAGTAGAGTTCACTTCAGTTGTGTCATGACATAGTTGCACCACAAAGCACTCTTGGCCCTTGCTCTTGCTTGCACCTTTTCTTCCCCAGCCCAGCACTGGCCCTGTGGGCAGAGGCTTGGCTGATGGGTGGGTAACCGTCAGCAGCACAAGCCCTGCACCTGCCTTCCAGTTCACATGGACTTATTCTATTTTGCCTTTAAAAAAAAAAAAAAATTGTGGCAGAGAGCTTAGTGAAATAGTGCTTGCTAGCACAGCAAAGCCTTAGTTTTATCTCCACCCCCACGTAAAATAGAAAAATTGGAGGAACAAGTGCGAATAGGTAGCTAAGTCCTTACCCTTGTAAGCCACTTATGTGCAGTGTTTTTAAAACCACAGTTTTACTCCAGATATCAAAAATAGGACTCTCACAGATGGAAGGAGTTTGTTGTTTTGTGTTGGTTTGATTTTGGTTCTTGGTTGTTGAGCCAGGGTCTTCCTATCCCAGAGCTGACCTTGAACTCCCAAGCCTCCCAAGCACTGGGGTTATAAGCATGTGCCACCATGTCTGCCTCTGAAGTACTTCTTGACTTTGCTTTCATAATTTTGTAAGAAGCTGAGGAAGGAAGAAAGGCCGTGGCATGCTTTTATCCTGTCCAACCCTAATCTGGGTCAAACAACTAAAAAATCATGACATCAAGGTATGTTTATTCAGGCTTTATCTTCACATTTAATCAAGTGTTCAGAGAGGCTGCTGCAGCTGCTGTCTTCAATTGGAGGCAGAAATGTACATTTTCCTGTACACTGTCTGGGAGATGGAGCAGGAGTCAGTGAAGTATACTTTTATATGCTGATTCTCCAGCCAGCTTTCTCCTTGTCTTTTACCAACTGTCACTAATATTACACATAAAAGGAAGGGTCACAGCAAAATATGCATGTTCTCTATAGGATGTGTCCTGGTATCACTAATGGTCTGTAATCTGCCACCTCCCTGACATCATTCTTACTGGTAGTTGACAGTGCATAGTGTGAGCTTGCTGCTGAGGAGGTCTAGGCGCCTCTTCCTCCCAGTCTCTTTCTTTGCTTTATGTGGCATAATCCCCTTTCCAGATTAACCAGTGCCAGGGAATAGTTATCACTGTAGTGTGGTCCTGATCACTTTGTTGTGTCTGCTCTGAGAATGTATACTGTGACTGGAAAGAGAGGTAGTAGATTGCTTTCTCCTGAGGAAGGTACTGATAGTTCTGGAAGTTCAAGCTTCTGGAAACTGTCACATTGCGTTGTTCTTAGCCAATATTTGTGTGTCCTAGTTTTTATCATGCTGTAGTAGGAAATTTCCTTTCTGAGTCAGCGGAGTGACGAGAAGTACTGTAATGTCAGAATGACATACAGTTTAGTGAGCAGTGTATTAAGATCAGAACCTGTCCCAGCCTGTTTGAGTGTGCCAAGGTCAGGGTCTGTGGCCAGCGGGGGTTTGGTTAGAGTCTTCTGAATACCTAGCACATTGAGAGTGAGGGCATATTGCCTGGTAGGCCGAGTCTGTCAGAAGAAGGTGCATTTCAGGCTCGCTGCACCCATGTGTTGGGCGAGCCTGGGTGAGATACATATTAAGACGGTTGCTCTAAAAGGAGATTAATTTTCTCTGTTCCTACATCCTCATGCTCTGAACCTTTTTAAAGCTCTGCTTGGACAAACAACTTTTATGAAGGGCTGAGAGCGAAGGAGTACAGTTTCTAGAAGAGACTAGCCTAGGTGACAGGGAAATCTCCAGTGTCCTTAGCTGGGAAGTATATTCTGCTGACACCTTAATGCACGACAGGTCGGGTCACACTCAACAGAAAATGACTCCCTTCCTCCCTGCTTCCCCCACGAGTACATTTAGATCTGTGAAAGCAGTTATTTTCAAAACTGGCTGTTCTGAATTTGGCTTGAATGAGTAAAACAATTCAACTGGAGTTACAAAGGAACTCTAGTCCATTTGTTTTTGGATAGAATTTCATTGAAATGGAATTAGTAAAGCCACTGGGAGAAAACTGGTAACAAAAGTGGAGGGTGAATTATGTGCACAGTTATTATTTAAATATGTATACCATTGTGTGATTTTAATAATTAGCTTTTTAAGTACTTGATTTTACAGGGAATTTTTCTAGTAATGATCAAATAGCTTAGCCATATGCCCAGTCTGGTAGAATAACAGTATTTTATTTAAATCCATGTTTTCTCTGCCTTAGTGTAGTGAAGAAAGAATCTTAATTAGGACTTCGTTTATTGTCTGGTTGAATTCATGATTAGCTCAGGTCACTGCTGAGATTTCAGAGTATGTTGTGGGTGTACCGCTCTCATTATTTGTTGTTTTATTTTTCTACAGTACAAAAACAGTGCTTCTGTACTGTGTGGCACAGTGAGTCAAGCAGAGGATCTCACTCGCTTGGGCTATCATTGAGTGCACAGTTTACAAACCACAAAATCAACTGCAAGCAGCCATGAGAGCTGTAGAAATAGTCTATGCAGCTTGTGGCCCATAGCAATGATTTTGCAAGCAAGAGGCCCTCCTGAGCTTTCCCAGCTCCCTAGCTGTGGAAGGGTGAATGGGACAAAACTGGGTCCGAGCCAGGCCTTCCCTACCTGTGTTTTGGCACTGCCTTACTTGTCATTATTTGCAGAGGAGCTCTTACAACAAAGAGTGAAACAGTTTAATCTAATGTTGATAATTTGCAACAAAAGGTTATCAAGTACTGTATGATGTTTTCCATCCAGTTAACATGGGAATAAGGTAAATAAGGGAAAATGGACACAAAGCTGAGGTCTTACAGAGAAATGATACAGCTGGCAAGATGGCTCAGTGGACTAAGCGCCTGCTTAGGCAAGCACAGAGATCGGGCTTCAATTCTGGGCTCCACGTGCTGTGCTGGCCTCACCCCCAGGCACACTGATCCAGTCACTGACACCAGGTGTGGTGGTGCACACCTGTAATCCCAGCACTGGGGAGGCTGAAAACAGGAGGACCACTATGAGTCTGAGCTGCATAGTGAGACCCTGCAACAACCAAATACATAAAATAATATAAATGATGCAGCTTTAACAGCCTTCAAATATTGACTCTACTGCAATCCTGTCCCATTAAATGCAACATGTGTTCAGGTGCTGCCCTTTGCTTGGGAACAGCATTGGGGTTTCAATATCTGCACGATCTCTGTACTGAAAGGGAATTGAGAAGGAATTTCTTGGTACTGTAATGAAAATAAGGTCTGCTCAACACAATAAACTTTTTCCTCTCTTCTTTAAATCTGTATGGTCAATCATTTAACTTTTTTTATTTTATTTATTTATTTATTTATTTATTTATTTATTTATTTATTTTGAGATAGAGTCTCATTCCACAGTTCAGGCTGGCCTTGAGTTCACTATATAGCCCAGGCTGGCCTCAGTCTCACAGCAGTCCTCCTGCCTGTCTCCTAAGTGCTGAAATTATGGTAGGTACCACTATGCCTGGCTTTCATTCAACTTTTAGGCCTAAGAAAGAGCAGATAGAGCATATTCCAACATCTTCATGTGTCAGAAGTCAAAAACCCTGACAAGAGCAAGGTGTTACTGAAAGCCTTACCTGACCTTGGAGCTCTTACCAGTGGGAGTCAGTTCTTGCACCAAGGCCCTCTCTGTCCCCCAATCTCTGGCATCTTCCTCAGTAGAGAAACCAACAGAATGGGAGAGGGAACCTCAAAGCAAGCTGGCACCCAAAGAGACTGGGTCTTGCCTGTCTCTGAATTTCTGGACAGCTGGCATGGTCTGTGCATTCTGCCAGACTGCTGTCCTCTTACGCTGGTACGCCCTGTAAAGTAAAAGGCAAAGTTCCTGCTGTTGAGGTTGGTGGGCATCACTGCCTAGTGTGATTAGTGCCCTCTGAGGTGGAGGTTGCTGTGAGAGCACCCCAGAGTGGAGGGGGTGGCATTGGTGGGGCAGAAGGGCTGCTGCAAGGTGACATGCTGTGGTGGAAGCCTGTGGAATCAGTGGGAGACCATGACGGGGTCTCCTGAGGGGCTGCAGGTGGACCTGCTGGCCAGTTATGGCCAGGAGAGTCAGCAGAGACTAAGCTCAACCTGGGAACACAGTCCCTGAGCATTTGAGCCAGGTGCTGACAACACGAAGGTTTTCTCATGACATTGTAGCATGTACACAGAACACACACAGATGGATTATCACAGTGAAAGGACTTGTGTAACCATCACCAATATAAAAGGAAGTTGAACTTTATTCAACTAACATTTAGAGCTAGGCATGGTGCACACACCAACAATACAACTTTAGATAGGAGCATCATTACAGGTTAGAAGCCAGCCTGGGCTCCCTACTGTTTCTCTGAAAATGAGGCTTAAAATGGAATGTCCCAGCAACCTAGCTGGTTGTTAGGGTGGTGATGGCCAGTGTCATGCAGACTGTACCTCTCTATTCTCTTGCTTGGTGGCCAGTCTATAGCAACAGGTAAAGCAAAGTTCGGCTAACTGGCCGGCACTCTTGATCTTCAGTTAGGCATTATTTGGGGGGAAATGTGATAACTTCAAAGCCAACCTGAGCTGCATAGGGAAACACTGCCTGCCACATCCAGTGCAGGTCTCGGAAATTCTCAGAGTAAAGAAATAAAGTCAGAATACAGAAAGCCAAGGTCAGGTAGAGCCCTCCCTTTCGATAGGAGGAAAGGAACTGCTCAACCACTATAGCACATTTATTTGTACCCTCTGCAGGTTGATGTCATGCGACACCCCTCTGCCTGCAACCTGTTTGCTTGGGTATTACAGGCGCTGGAACAGCGTGTGCACCTTCTCCCCTCAGATGCTCTTGTTCCCTGGACTGGCCTTGCCCCAGCCCCACATGAGTGGTCAGTCTCCAGCTTCTCCAGTTGCTCCCTGCATCTCTTCTTCCTTTCCTATTTTGTAGTTATGAGGAGTGGTCTGCTGAAGTTGGAGAACCTGTGTTTGAAGGACCTTCCCATTCTTGAACCCTTTCCATTCTGAGTGAATTTACTGGTTTAGGCTAAAGGTTCCCAGTTCCTGCATTCAGCACTTTAGCTCTGTGTACTTCATTAATCATAACAGTAGTCAGTTGCCAATATAGCTGGTGATTGTCAGATGGTATTAGTGATCTGAATTTCTTTTGTAGCTAGCATATTACTATGGCATTATTTTATACCTTTTGTAGTTATACTTCTTTGCAGGATGTTCAAGACTAAGGTGAGACCTGTATTAATGAAAAATAAATTTCACTATCAAAGTCAGTGAAGTCTCTTCAGGATTTACCTTGGGACCAAGTACAGTACCTCTTAGTTCTTCTGTCAGTGTCAGCCATATGAATGAATCACAGCCCTTGCTTGACCAAGTTGCTTTCTGTGAAAGTTTGGGAGATTTTTCTCTCCTGGTGACTCCTCAG